CATAATTAAACTGTTCCTCATACTTGGATTTGGTGTACGGATCTACCTTTGAAAGAACTATATCTATATCTATCTCCGCATTGACAATATCTTTTTCGTCCCCTAGGGACATAAGCGAATCGAAAATTGCACTTACTGTATCAATTATTAACCTCAAGGCAGACGCAGAAGGTTTTGTTATTGAAGGGATTTCATACAGCTGCGCTAGAGTTTCAAAGAATATTAAACACTTGTTGTCATAGACTCTCTTTAAACTCGCTAATGCCTTTTTATAATTTGCATCTGAGACTTGAAGAGCTTTTATTGTTCCCAATGCCTCGTCAGAAAGGCAGGCTAACAGAGTCAACCAATTGCTCAAAAATTCCAATAAATTGTTTATACTCTGAATGTTTGCCGCTAAATTTTGGTAACTTCATTTTTGGCAGATTTGAATGTGAACTGCCCATGACTAAAGCTTGCTGTTTATGATTTTCACCTGTACTAGCAGCTGACATATATAATGCCTTGGTAATTACGCAATTTTCTTCTAATGCCGACCTATTCCGGTTATCTGGATCTATTATATAAATTTCCGACTGCAATGCCATGGCTTTTGCAATATATGAATTTAAAATTTCCAGTCGACATTGAATTTGAAGCGGATCAAACGAAATTGTATTCTCCTCTCATTCTTGTAATATCTTACCCAAACCCTGTCTACCTGCGAAAATAATTTCGTTAATTGCACCGAGGAGCAGCTATCTTCCATCTCCCCTTCTGTCTCCGATGCGCCATCATTCCTTTTGGTTTTTGTAAGTGCCATTTTAATTAAAAATTATTTAATTTATTTACAATAGTTATTTCTGGGTGGCTCGAATAAATTTGTTGGCGTAACAAAAGAAATGGGAGACGAGAACGTAATTAATCTAATCCTAACAAAACTTTTCGGTAGTCCCTGTTCGGGCGCCATGTAGAAAATCAAAACGAAAATAATTAATTATTAATAATTGAGAATGCCGAAAAGTGAAAAGACTTGGCTTGGCTGCTGCGAAATTTGGGGAAAGGAGAAAACACAAGACTGGCCGATTCGATCTTCAAAATTCCACTACTTTATTGTGCCCAGCAGAGCAGTTTTGTGAGAGCCTTTGCAGGTCCGCTGAATTTGATTTTAGCATTGGCGCTGAGCATAACGCAGTTGGGCTTAAGCTGTTACTTATGTCTATCTTAACATAAACTTCATAATATGCGTTCTGCACTTCAACAGTGTCATTAATGAAAAAAAATGATTTGAAAAATTTTTTCGACAAGAAATCATGTTCCCCACCCCATTATGATCCGGATCCGGATAATATCAATTAATGTTGGAATGGCATTCCTCGTTGAATTCGTTACAATTACAGAAAAAAAATCATTTGAAAAATTTTATCAATTCAAATCCAAAGAAAATCACTACGATTTTTCAAGTTTTTAATCAAAACCCTGGGAAATAGTGGTCAGATGTTGGAATGGCATATCTAGTTGAATTCGTTACAAAATTTCCAACAAAGTGTCATTTACAGAAAAAACAAGAGAGAACGCTATAGTCGAGTGCCTCGATTATAAGATACCCGTTACTCAGCTTAACAACTTTAGATTTTGCATTAACATAATGTGAATTAGAGTGACCACAGGAAAAAAGGACAAAAAGTTCAAATTATCAATTTGAATTAGGCGATCTCTTAGAGCTGGCAGCTTTACAGCACGAGCATCAGCACAAGCGCTGCTTTAGCGCAGGCAGCTTTTGTCCTGTATCAGCATACACACATACGCCGTTGTTTGACTCAATTTGGCTAACTTAAGGGGTTATCCGGGTCTTGGAGCACAAAAAAAAGCCTATTTTCGTAAATTTTTTTTAAAGATCTTATGACAATTTCACAAATTTCATTTATTGTACATTAATGTTTATGGTTTGACCAACATTGTGTAAAAATTTGAACTAAATATTTTTAAAATTGAGCCGTTGAGGCAGGCTTGAACTTGACCTCATAAAAAATTGTGTCCTTGCGGTAGGCAAAATATCTCCGCCAATTTTTGTCTGAAATCAAAAAACCAAAATTATTCTGATAGTGTATGTGTCTCGCTTGTCCTCTCCGAGCCATTTTTTTTTTAAATTAAAAATTGAATTTTTTGTAGCGCTTTTCATAAAAAGTGTCATTTTTTACGTAAATTTTGGCCATATTTTGGCTTATAAAATGAGTTGTAATTAAAAATTTAAAAAATCCCTCCGTTAAGGACAAGAGAATTATGTCTAAAAGAAGCGTGCAAAAGCAGAAGTTGATCGGTGCAATAGTTTTTGAGAAATCGTGACTACCGACTTCAAAAAAGTGGTTTTGAGAAAAACGCGTTTAAAGTGCCGCATCTGCCCGACGCCAGAGCCCGAATGGCCCGTTGTGACGTTCGACGCGCTGGTCAAAATTTCTCCCATTCCTACAGTTTTGCTTCGATCGACTTGAAATTTTCAGACAACATTCCTGAAACTTTGTACTATTATATAAAAAAGTTTGAAAAAAATGAATTTTTTGAAGTGTCAAGACCCGGATAACCCCTTAATTTGATTTGCATAGTTCTTGGGATATAGTTCGGTATTGACAAATGAAAACCATCGCAATTTCCTTTAATAGAAATCCTTATCGAGAATTAACGTTGACTCTCTTGAGCACCTTGGCCAGCTGTTCCAAAGTTATCCGTTAGATGGCGCCATGAAAGGCGGAAATGTAGGCGCTAGCCAGGCTTAAGCGTTTAATGAGTTTTTGGGCGTTTGAGTGGGCGTGGCAAACCTTTATTAGGCCAATCGATATGTATTGTCTAAACAAATACATATCAATTAAAATTTTCATAATAGCATCAAAACTGTGGCCACAGCTTGTGGCTTGTGGGCGTCAGAGGGGGTGTGGCACCATTTTGAAACTTTTTAATCAAAACCCTGGGAAATAGTGGTCAGATATTGGAATGGCATACCTCGTTGAATTCGTTACATACAGAAAAAATCAATTGAAAAATTGTTTCGAGAAAAAAAAACATGACCCCCACCCTTATCAGCTCAAATCAAAAGAAAATCACCTCGATTTTTCCGGTTTTTAATCAAAACCCTTGGAAATAGTGGTCAGATGTTGGAATGGCATACCTCGTTGAGTTCGTTACAAAATTTCCAACAATGTGGCATTTCCAGAAAATAATATCATTCTAAAAATTTTTTTTGAAAAAAAATTATGACCCCCACCCTTATGACAACGCCAAAATCCGATTTTTCGGTTTTTTAATCAAAACTCTGGGAAATAGTGGTCGAATTTTGGAATGGCATACATCCATGAATTCGTTACAAAATTCGTTACAAAATTTCCAAAAAAGTGTCATTTAAAGAAAAAAAAATTATTTGAAAAATTTTTTCGAAAAAAAAAACATGATCGCTACCTCTATGACATAGCCAAAAACCGAAGAAAATCACCTCGATTTTTTGGTTTTTAATCAAACCCTGGGAAATAGTGGTCGAATGTTGAAATGGCATACCTTGTTGAACTCGTTACAAAATTTTCAACAAAGTGTCATATACAGAAAAAAAAATTATTTGAAAAACTTTTTCGAAAAAAAACCATGTCTCCCACCCTTATGACAAGGCTCAAATCCAAAGAAAACAAGAGAGAACGCTATAGTCGGGTGCCCCGACTATCAGATACCCGTTACTAAGGTAAAGGGAGTGCGAGGGAGATGGAGATAGAAACTTTGATCACGCATAACTTTTTAACGAATGGTCCGATTTAAAGAATTTCTTCTACATTTCGATAGGTATTGATAAACACAATAAAACTGCATTTTTACTTTTCCGAAATATTTAAATTTTTAAAATCGTATATAAGCGATTGTGGGCGTTAAAGGGGGCGTGGCACCTTTTTGAAACAAACTTGCGCTGCGTAGGAACTCCTAAAATCTACATGCAAAATGTCAATCTTCTAGCTTTTATAGTTTCCGAGATCTCAGCGTTCATACGGACAGACAGACAGACGGACAGACAGACGGACAGACGGACAGACGGACATGGCTATATCGACTCGGCTAGTGACCCTGATCAAGAATATATATACTTTATAGGGTCGGAAACGCTTCCTTCTAGCTGTTACATACTTTTGCACGAATACAATATACCCTTTTACTCTACGAGTAACGGGTATAATCACCTCGATTTTTCAGGTTTTTAATCAAAACCCTGGGAAATTGTGGTCAGATATTGAAATGGCTTACCTAGTTGAATTCGTTACAAAATTTCCAACAAAGTGTCATTTACAGAAATAAAAATCATTTGAAAATTTTTTTCGAAAAAAAAACATGACCCCACCCCTATGACAAAGCCAAAATCCGAAGAAAATCACCTCGATTTTTCGGTTTTTTAATCAAACCCCTGGGAAATAGTGGTCGAATGTTGGAATGGCATACCTCGATGAATTCGTTACAAAATTTTTTAACAAAATGTCATTTAAAGAAAACAAAAATCATTTGAAAAATTTTTTCGAAAAAAAACATGACCCCAGCTTTATGACAAAGCCAAAATCCGAAGAAAATCACCTCGATTTTTCGGTTTTTTAATCAAAACCCTGGGAAATAGTGGTCGAATGTTAGAATGGCATACCTTGTTGAATTCGTTACAAAATTTACAACAAAGTGTCTGTAGAAAATCGAAACGAAAATAATTATATATTAATAATTGAGAATGCCGAAAAGTTAAAAGACTTGGCTTGGCTGCTGCAAAATTTGGGGGAAGGAGAAAACACAAGACTGGCCGATTCGATCTTCAAAATTCCACTACTTTATTGTGCCCAGCAGAGCAGTTTTGTGAGAGCCTTTGCAGTCCCGCTGAATTTGATTTTAGCATTGGCGCTGAGCATAACGCAGTTGGGCTCTCTTAAGCTGTTACTTATGTCTATCTTAACATAAACTTCATAATTTGCGTTCTGCGGTTCAACAGTCCGGCCACCTTGAAGGACCTGCCTTCAATATAATGGGAGTGCAGCCAGCTTCTGGATAGGACGCTTAAATACGCCTGTTGCGGTCTTGATTTCGGCCACTCGAATTTTTCCATCGGCCCCTGCCACCACGCTGACGACCCTGCCGGTAATCCAACGCTGGGGTGGAGTGTTGTCCTCGTGGATGATTACCAAGGCTCCGACCTCCAGATTGGGCGATGTAGTTTGCCACTTGGTTTTGCGCTGAAGGCTGTGGACATATTCCTTGGACCACGCCTGCCAAAACCGCTGTCTGAGCGTGGATAGCAGTTGCCACCTCTTTGAGAACCTCAAACCTCTGGTCGGTGCGTCTGGCTCTAATCCTTGCGGCAGCGAACAAAGTGCCTGCCCGACTAGCAGGTGCCCTGGAGTGAGCGCCTCCCCCTCGTTGGGATCGGTGCTGGTTGGAGTTAGAGGCCGGGAATTGAGCACGGCCTCGGTGTCCGCCAGATAAGCCCTGACCTCGGCTTCGGTTAGGGACGCGTCTGCGACTTGACGCACGAGAATTTCTTTCGCTGACTTCACGTCCGCCTCCCACAAACCACCGAAGTGCGGTGCTCGTGGTGGGATGAACCTCCACTCGACGCCCTTCTCCACGACGAACAGTTGAAACTGCGACTGCTGATCCTCGAGGGCCCTCTGAAGACTTCTCAGGTCGTTCCTGGCTCCCACAAAGTTCGTCGCGTTGTCGGAATGTACTCGATGCGGTACGCCACGTCTTGCGATGAAGCTTTTAAAGGCCAAAAGAAAAGAGTCAGTCGACAAATTTGTAACGAGTTCCAGGTGAACAGCCTTGGAAGCAAAACAGACAAATACAGCAATATACATCTTAATGGGGGCCGTCCTCGAATACGCAACGATACATTAATAGGACCAAACAAATCTACGCCACAAATATGAAATGACCTTACGGATTCGAACTTATCCGCAGGCAGATTTCCCATAATTTGGTTCATCAGAACAGGCTTATATATAAAACAATGGATGCATTTTCGAACCACCCGAGTGCATTCTCTGCGAGCATTTATTACCCAGATTTCTTGCCGAAGAAGACCGATCATCGTTTTTGCATTTGCGTGACAATTTCTCAAATGCAAATTTCGGAGATACAAATCAACAATTTGGTTCTTACCAGGGAGTAATATCGGAAATTTAGCATTTTCTGAAATAGGTGCATGCAAGAGTCTGCCTCCCACCCAAATTAGCGAAAATCTTCTACCAGCTTCAGAAAACTTTTGTAGGAAAGGCGTCATGATCTGCAAACTTGGTTGTAAAACGTGTCCTTTTTTAATTTTCTTGTACTCTTCTATAAAGACATTTTTATACCCGTTACTCGTAGAGTAAAAGGGTATATTGTTTTCGTGCAAAAGTATGTAACAGGTAGAAGGAAGCGTTTCCGACCCTATAAAGTATATATATTCTTGTTCAGGATCATTAGCCGAGTCGATCTAGCCATGTCCGTCTGTCCGTCTCTTCGTCTGTATGAACGCTGAGATCTCGGAAATTATAAAAGCTAGAAGATTGGCATTTTGCATGTAGATTTTAGGAGTTCCTACGCAGCGCAAGTTTGTTTCAAAATGGTGCCACACCCCCTCTGACGCCCACAAGCCACAAGCTGTGGCCACAGTTTTGATGCTATTATGAAAATTTTAATTGATATGTATTTGTTTCGTCAATACCTATCGATTGGCCTAATAAAAGTTTGCAACGCCCACTCTAACGCCCAAAAACTCATTAAACGCTTAAGCCTGGCTAGCGCCTACATTTCCGCCTTTCATGGCGCCATCTAACGGATAACTTTGGAACAGCTGGCCAAGGTGCTCAACAGAGTCAACGTTAATTCTCGATAAGGATTTATATTAAAGGAAATTGCGATGGTTTTCATTTGTCAATACCGAAATATATCCCAAGAGCTATGCAAATCAAATCAAGTTAGCCAAATTTAAGGTCTGAGTCAAACAATGGCCTATGTGTGTATGCTGGTGCAGGACAAAAGTTGCCTGCGCTAAAGCAGTGCTGATGCTCGTGCTGTAAAGCTGCCAGCTCTAAGAGATCGCCTAATTCAAATTGATAATTTGAACTTTTTGTTCTTTTTTCCTGTGGTCATTCTAATTCACATTATGTTAATGCAAAATCTAAAGTTGTTTAGCTGAGTAACGGGTATCTGATAGTCGAGGCACGCACTTTGTTGAAAATTTTGAAACGAATTCAACGAGGTATGCCATTTGAACATTCGACCACTATATCCAAGGGTTTTGATTAAAATACCGAAAATCGAGGTGATTTTTTTCCACTATATCCCAAAAATTTGTTCAAATGATTTTTTTTTCTGTAAATGCCACTTTGTTGGAAATTTTGTAACGAATTCAACGATATATGCCATTCGAACATTCGACCAATATATCCAAGGGTTTTGATTAAAATACAGAAAATCTAGGTGATGTTTTTCCACTACATCCCAAAAATTTGTTCAAGTGATATATTTTTTTTTTTTTAAATGCCGCTTTCTTGGAAATTTTGTAACGAATTCAACGAGGTATGCCATTCGCACATTCGACCAATATATCCAAGGGTTTTGATTAAAATACCGAATATAAAGCTGATTTTCTTCAGATTTTGGCGTTATCCTAAGCGTCATCATTTTTTCCAAAAATTTGTTCAAATGATATTTTTTTTCTGTAAATGCCACTTTGTTGGAAGTTTTGTATCGAATTCAACGAGGTATGCCATTCCAACATTCGACAACTATTTCCCAGGGTTTTGATTAAAAAACCGAAAAATCGAGCTGATATTATCCGGATTTGGGCCTTGTTATAATGGGGTGGGCGAGATGATTTCTTTTCGAAAAAATTTTTCAAATGATATTTTTTTTCTGTAAATGCCACTTTGTTGGTAGTTTTGTAACGAATTCAACGAGGTATTCCATTCGAACACTCGACCAATATATCCAAGGGTTTTGCTTAAAATACCGAAAATCGAGGTGATTTTCTTCGGATTTTGGCGTTGTCCTAAGGGGGTCACACTCTTTTTCCAAAAATGTGTTCAAATGATATTTATACCCGTTACTCGTAGAGTAAAAGGTATATTGTATTCGTGAAAAAGTATGTAACAGGTAGAAGGAAGTGTTTCCGACCCTATAAAGTATATATATTCTTCTTCAGGATCACTAGCCGAGTCGATCTAGCCATGTCCGTCTAACGGAGGACTTTGGAACAGCTGGCCAAGGTGCTCAACAGAGTCAAAGTTAATTCTCGATAAGGATTTCTATTAAATGAAATTACGATGGTTTTCATTTGTCAATACCGAACTATATCCCAAGAGCTATGCAAATCAAATCAAGTTAGCCAAATTGGAGGTCTGAGTCAAACAATGGCGCATGTGTGTATGTATGTAAGCATATACATATGCATGTATTTATATTGTACACAGTTGTAATTGCCCGGCAAAGATAACTCCTTTTAAAGAAAGCTATTCGCTATACCCGTTAGTCGTGTTGTGCAAACATTTAGACTTTAATATACATAATACTATTTAAGAATGTATGTGTTTAGCCAATATAAGTATGTATGTTTAATATTTCTAGTCAATTTATTGCACTCAAAAACATAAATATAAACACAGCTGCTGGTGCGGGACAAAAGCTGCCTGCGCTAAAGCAGCACTGGTGCTGATGCTCGTGCTGTAAAGCTGCCAGCTCTAAGAGATCGCCGAATTCAAATTGATAATTTGAACTTTTTTAGCTGAGTAACGGGTATCTAATAGTCGAGGCACTCGACTATAGCGTTCTCTCTTGTTTTTTTCTGTAAATGACTCTTGGTTTGAAATTTTGGTAACGCATTCAACGAGGTATGCCACTCCATTTTTTCTGTAAATGACACTTTGTTGGAAATTTTGAAACGAATTCAACGAGGTATGCCATTCGAACATTCGACCACTATATCCAAGGGTTTTGATTAAAATACCGAAAATCGAGGTGATTTTTCCACTACATCCCAAAAATTTGTTCAAATGATATTTTTTTTCTGTAAATGCCACTTTCTTGGAAATTTTGTAACGAATTCAACGAGGTATGCCATTCGAACATTTGACCACTATATCCAAGGTTTTTGATTAAAATAAGGGGGTCATCATTTTTTTCCAAACATTTATTCAAATGATATTTTTATACCCGTTACTCGTAGAGTAAAAGGGTATATTGTATTTGTGCAAAAGTATGTAACAGGTAGAAGGAAGCGTTCCCGACCCTATAAAGTATATATATTCTTGTTCAGGATCACTAGCCGAGTCGATCTAGCCATGTCCGTCTGTCCGCCTGTCCGTCTGTCCGCCTGTCCGTCTGTCCGCCTGTCCGTCTGTCTGTCCGTCTGTCTATCCGTATGAACGCTGAGATCTCGGAAACTATAAAAGCTAGAAGATTGGCATTTTGCATGTAGATTTTAGGAGTTCCTACGCAGCGCAAGTTTGTTTCAAAATGGTGCCACACCCCCTCTGACGCCCACAAGCCACAAGCTGTGGCCACAGTTTTGATGCTATTATGAAAATTTTAATTGATATGTATTTGTTTCGTCAATACCTATCGATTGGCTTAATAAAACTTTGTCACGCCCACTCTAACGCCCAAAAACCCATTAAACGCTTAAGCCTGGCTAGCGCCTACATTTCCGCCTTTCATGGCGCCATCTAACGGATGACTTTGGAACAGCTGGCCAAGGTGCTCAACAGAGTCAACGTTAATTCTCGATAAGGATTTATATTAAAGGAAATTGCGATGGTTTTCATTTGTCAATACCGAACTATATCCCAAGAACTATGCAAATCAAATCAAGTTAGCCAAATTGGAGGTCTGAGTCAAACAATGGCCTATGTGTGTATGCTGGTGCAGGACAAAAGCTGCCTGCGCTAAAGCAGCGCTGGTGCTGATGCTCGTGCTGTAAAGCTGCCAGCTCTAAGAGATCGCCTAATTCAAATTGATAATTTGAACCTTTTGTCCTTTTTTCCTGTGGTCATTCTAATTCACATTATGTTAATGCAAAATCTAAAGTTGTTTAGCTGAGTAACGGGTATCTAATAGTCGAGGCACTCGACTATAGCGTTCTCTCTTGTTTTTGGATGATTTCCATCAGTTTAAAAAATGATAGTTGTAACTCTCTAGCAGTCAGACTTACTGATCTTTCTCGTGATTTAGCTAGGTTTAGAAATCTGTAAACGTATCCAAGAATTCTAATGAGTTTGGGAAACGATGACATACGAGTAATGAATTCAAACGGAGTTGATAGCTTGACGGCTGTACACACTTGGGCAGCTCTTTTTAACTCTGAGTTTTTTAATTCGGAAGGTATAGAAAAATTCGAGTTTTCTGGCCATGATGACTCATTTTCATACAGAAATTTCGGACCTTCGAACCAGATGGACTCAGTCAATTCACCTACATCGCAGCCACGGGACGCAATGTCTGCTGGATTAAACTGCGAAGGGACATGTCGCCAGGATATATTTTCTGATAGCTCTTGAATTGTGGCTACCCTGTTTGAAACAAAAACTGCAAGTGACGAAGGTTGAGACTTTATCCAATGTAAGGTTATTTCTGAGTCTGTCCAGAAATAAACACTCTCGATTTCACATTTGTCAAGAACTTGTTTGACGTAGCACCAAAATTGTGCCAAAAGTGTGGCGGCGCATAATTCAAGCCTTGGTATGGTTTTCGTTTTTAGTGGAGCCACTCACGATTTCGCTGCTAGCAATCGACAATCAACCTGACCGTTTTCGATTGCTCGAATGTAAATGCAACATCTGTTAGCTTGGCTGGATGCATCTGCGAAACCGTGAAC